TTATGAGGAGGTCCACTACCAAATTGTTTTCAAATACTTTTAGAATTTTAACCTTGAGATTGCTCTTCGCCATCAAGATTTGCTGTCTCAACATAAGCCACAGAACCGGGTTCAGAAGTTGCGAGAATGAGACAATCAGCCGCCAGCTGCTCGCCATTTACAGCTCGGATCAATTGACCGACGTGGAGCTAAAAAAATAATAAATAATATCCCGAGTTCAAAACTGAAATGTATTGACGCTTACATACAAGGACAAAGAATTTTTAGGTCTATGATGGCAACTAGATGGCTCTCGATTCTAGCGCATAGAGGTTTTAGATTGGGCACGAGTTAAAGTTGGTTCAGCTGTGTTTTTGAAGCTCGATCTTATACAAAGAACTACCGAGCCAGCATTCATAATAATTTTTTAAGTCGCTTGCAAAATGAGGGTCTATTTGTAAACTGCAGGCGGTGGATGTGAGAGATCACCTACTTTTCTTAGAACTCCCTCTATTTTAGCAAATTTTGTTCGAACAAGGGAAGCTGTATGGTTGTTAACCCGTGCATATTAGGCGGCAATCCAAGTGCACAAGCAGGACAGTGAAGGATCAGGACAGAGATGCGAAGATCTATTGGTAACACGTTTTTTGTCACCGTTCATGCGGTCCATTTTCTCTTTTCAACCGCTACCTTCCACCGAGTTACTCTTTCAAACGCACAGTACTTTCTTATACACAAGTTGACTGTCAATCGGCTCCCAAAGCCCTGCATTTGTTAATGTTATAGTTCACAGATTTTTCATTTATGCACCTCGAAGCTCACTGTTCGCGGCCAAAGTCAGAATGCAAGGTTCAAGTTGGTTCCCAATAAAGGTTACATCTTTGCACCTTCTTATTTCGAACTTGAGCTTGACACCGGTTACGTTCATTTTCCTCTACTCATTGTACCTTGGCTACTGCCTTCGCGATGGATGTCAGACTAGCCGAGGCGTTGCTCCAGTTTAGGATGGCTGCCCGAAGAACCGGAGCGACCGTAACGGACGGATTGCATTCGCTTCCTAGCATCGTGTGTTGAAAGCTTTGCAACCGCGCCCTGGCAGTCGCGAAAGGCGAATATACTCGCCGAGTCTGATATCCATTCGAGCGATGCAGTATCGTGCAGACATAATCGATATTGCATCATGCTGCCGATAGGGGTGGGTGAGAGCGGTAAAAAAAAGTCGTAGAAAATTCTTCAGCCACCCACATCACACCATGGAATCATTCTCCATCCATCGTCAGTGTGCGCGTAACACTTTTGGTAGTTCATCTTGCGATCGCGTACGCGCCGACGCTGGAAAAATCTGTATCATCCAGTCATTGGATCAGCCATTTTTGATACTCACCACATCCTTCGTATATCTCACGAACGGCTGAAGTTCCGATGATGAAACTGAGAGGCACAATAGTTGCCTGTCGACCGAAAGGTGCAAGTCCAGGCAATGTCTGGAAATGGAACACTTTCAGAACTATCTATGCCAAGAAATGGAGTTAAAGCAACACCCCAGATCGAATTTGTGGGGTTCCAGCGGTCGATAATGGAATGGTAGATGCCGCGTTGACTAAAAACCTGAAAAAGAAGCGAAGAAATCCGTCTATGAAGCTCTGAAGAAAAAATTTCCTTGACAAATGAAGACGGGGCCGGACAAGTTTACGCTGCATTTCATGGGGTGTGCGCGGTGTAACTCGTCCATACGCTAGGACTAAACGGCATAGGTTCACTTTGTAAGACTCTAGCGCCATTGTCGCGCACTTTCAAGCCCCGACAACGGCACATCTGTGATACTCGTGAGGCTTCTCGATACCACCGCTCAGTAGACCTTTCAACGCGACTTATCCTGGGGTGTTGCTTTGAGAAAAATTATAGAATTACCTGAATAAATGACAGCACCAAGAAGAACAAATTGGCCACTTGCTTGAATTGGGCGTAAAGGAATTTTGGCAAGAAATTGAAGTATGTGTAATTGCTGGTGCGCACCATGTTCGACGGAGGAGCACGTTCTCCGAGCTTGAACCTGCAATCGTCGCGTTGACACTGATGAGCTTTGTACGAGCCTTTTCGTTTCATGTGATAGACCATAAGGTTTCTGGAACTTTCTCATTCAGATTCAATGGCAGAGCTGCAACTTGTAAGAACCTTATCTAGTCGTTCTTCATTCTGACGTGAACATGCACCTAATCTCTTCCTACCGTGATTTCAATAAGCTTGCACCAATCAGTCGTCGAGTAAGGGTGACCGAGACATGGAGTCGGTTATAAAGGCATGATCGGATAAGTTAGAGTGTTATGTAGTTGAGAAGTAAGCGAATGCGATTGCGGAACCGCGAGGCGAAAAGCGACGTAGAAAGCTTCCATGGAATAGCATGGAAGTACCGGATGTGATCGGTTGCGTAGTGATGGAGACTAGTGCTGCGGGAGAGGGAAAATGTGAGAGAGGACGTGTAACGCGAGAGGGCGCAAAAGCCGCGTACATATCTCACGATTGATAGAGCGGCAGCTTTAGCACGAACAAGGAAGGGTCTTAGCGATATTGCTGCACACTTTTGAGTGGCACTGTTGATGGGAACATCTGCTTTTACTCGAGGATGGACTGTGCGTTGAGCACTCTCGACCGTGAAATCATTCGAGTTTCGATGTTGTGTCGATCTTCTCGTAACCATGTGCCTTCACCTCCCCCCCCCCTTCAGTGACAAATGCAACTTCTTGCTGGGCGGGCGCTTTACCAGGCATGTTTTTACCTCATGGAAGTGTATACAAGAAAGCTCCACTCCTTCACCTGGCAAAGCATAGTTTTTGTGCTATGATTTCTCACTGTCATCCTCTATGACTCATTTCAAGCTTCTTTATCTTCTGATTATTGACGTGCACTCGAAAGCACCTTATGCGATTAACTGAGAAGAATGTTGACAAGCTATCCATGGGGCTAGAGGAGGATGTAGGTGTCTTTGTTGTAGAACGACGCTGTCAGGCGTGTTCCAAACAGGGGGGCACCTTCGTGGCAGCAGTCCGTCGCATCTGTTGACGGCGTTATTGAAGTTTCCTCTATAGTCCTGCCTCGAATGGCGGGGAGCACATACAATTAGAGAACGACGCCTGGTCCGGCTCCAACACTCAAGAAGAAGGTGAGAGCTCTATGGAAACGATAAGACCTTGATAGGGTGAGAAGGACTTCGAGGAGGATAAGAAGACTACAGCGTGCCAAAAGTTTGAATGTGTGAGATCACAGTTCTCATCACCTGATAAGGTGATAGAGCGCAGACGAGAGCATCAAGTTGAGGCGGTTCAAAGGACCGAGTTCAAGTAGTCGTGGACGTTCACACTTTCGGCCCTTCATCCTACAACACTCATTCCATCATCCTTCAGTCCGTCTGCACACACTCATCTTACTATGGAGTACAGTGTCTTTTAATTACGTCGCAACAGTACCCTCTTCTCTTAAGATAATCAAATAGAGAATTTCCTAGTGCTATGGCGTAGGTGGGAGGGGGAGGGGGGAGTTCTTCATTTCAGGTCAATTTTACAGTAAATGTGCACATAGGAATTGAGTGGTCCACTACTGGATTTGGGCGACTAATCTCTGAGAGAGAAAGAATACTGGAGTGAAGGATGTGGACAATTTATGTTCTCCATGGAGCTTCTTCCCTCTAATGGGTTTACAAAGGAAGGATACCAGGTCAAAGTGGCCATTCGTAATGGAACCTACTTTATATTCCTCTTTTTTCAACTTTTTATTCTCATTCCAGTACTATTAGCAACGAGACCAATTCGGCCGCTAAACCGACTGACTTCAATACAAATGGTGGTTGTTTACGGGATTATGATAAGTATCAGTTCAGATCCACAGGCTCTCCAGATGCCCACTGTGTGGTGTGCGCAGAGCTAAACTGGTGATGTTATGGGATGCCATGAGAATCACCAGATCAAAGATTCCACGATAGATGGAAGGTCGAAGAAGGGGAAAATGCCTAGTGGAAAAACAGGCGGACCCTCTCACGGTGCGCGCAATTCGCAGCGAAGAACATGCCCCCGGCGATCTAGCATGCCCCTCGCCGCGGCGCAACAGGCGCTTCACGCCCACTGACTGGCCATCCATTCACCACACGTTTGTGGCCGTTTAGCAGAATGAGCGTTAGCGTTGAAGAGGCAGCACTTATGAGAGTCGCATCAATGCGGAAATCAACGGGCAAGGAAGGGTCCCATTTCTCGGGTTCTGGGCCGTTTCTCATGGTTTTTTCTTCATTCCAACACCACTGACCACCTCTGTCTTGATTTTAATAGGCTATCTTCTGATTGTAGACTCCGCCTTATGGAGCGTTCATAGTTGACGATCGTACGTGCGGCGATTAGGCGATTAGGCGGGGAAGACCACATACGTATTGATTGGTTTGCTCCGCCCATAGAGCGTTGTAGGCGAGTAGGCGATAGGCGATTAGGCGATCGCTCAATGGGCGGAGCAACAAATCAATACGTATCTCCTGATCGCCTACGCCTAATCGCTTAATCGCAAAGTCTGAAATGTGCTGTAGGGGGTGGGGGGCATGAACAATTTTGGCCTTTCGCGGGTTGTTTTATAGCATACACTTTTCGAGCGCTGTAAGTGAGATGATGAGCCGAATCTCAAAAAAATATACACAGAGTTTCGTAACAGTAACCGGATGCATTACTGTGCTCTCATTGTCTCCCAACCCCCCCCCCCCCCTGTTAGCGGACTAGTTTTGCACTGAAAATCTGCATGTGTCACATACGATATGAACTGCTCCTCGTCCGGAACATTGAGCATGTCGTCGTTATGGCGAACTCCAAAAAGCTCCTCGCTTTTGGCAGACTGCAAAACAAAAGCCAGGTGGTCGTGCAGTCATGAAGGCCGAGAAACATTGGGATACTCACGAGACTCAATCTCCATTTGTAGAGATTAAGCGGGAGCCAACTCATTGTGACTGGACTGTGAGCCGTTAGTAGTCTAAATGAGAAACCCCACTCGCCTTCAGTGCCATTGATATCAACGAAGAACATATCAATTGCTTGTAGGGAATCGTTGGCAATAGTGTACAAGGGTTATTTTTTCAGATTGATTTGTTTATTTCCCATCTTTTCAACAGTTGTTCTAGGACCGCAAAAAGGAGGGTGGGGTTCGTGTCCTTAGGAGGGGGACATGAAGTGAGTGGGCCACTATAGGCAGAACAGGTATTCCTAATAAAATGTTGTAATAAATTGTTTGGGACAGAAAGTGGTTAGTGGCACGCTACCACGCGCGTTTGGGGATCAAATCCTGGGTCGTGCCCCGGGCCAACCAAGCCTTCCATCCCTCCGGGGTCGGTTAATTGGTACCAGACTTGTCTGGGAGGATAAAAACACTGACTTGTACATCGGCTGGCCCCCGCAAGTCATTGTATAGGCCACATCGCATTCAAACGCCACTACGAATGTACAAATGGAAGTAGAATGCGTGCCGCATCCCAAAAAGGGATTGATCAACGGCAAATGCTTTATCCTTTATCTTAAAGGAGAGCATAATATGCTAATTCTCAATGAGTATATTGAAACTGACGTGAGATCCGCTGCTGTCTGCGAGGTGCGGCACAAGCCACGTAAATGACGCCTACTATTGTTTTCGAATTGTGCCAAATTATTCAATGAGATAGGTGATCGTCTTCATTAATCTGATCACTGAAAGCTTCACATTCCATAAAAACTGGCGATTTTGCAATGGTTAAAACCAGTTTACTGCCGAAAAAACGGAAGCAGGCTCCTGATGTGAGCTTCGTCACGGATGTGAAGAGAGTGAAGCAGGTCCGTTTCTTTCTACTATTGGCTTCTATTGTTGTGTATTTCTCTTCTTTCTTCTCTCCAAATTCTCCTTGTAGAATGATGCCGGTTA